AATTTGCTCTTCAGGCTGGGAATAACTTTATCCTTCGTGTTCTTGATGAGAAAAGGTCTGTAATGGCGAAAAATAATGGTCAAAACAGCTGATAACATGATGAGAGAGAGTTTGAGAATTTCCTGCTGGAACACACTGTTGAACATTATTTTTCAGAACTTCTTTATAGTTAGCTAGACATACTTTTTAATAAACAACTCAAAGATTGCTGAAGACTGACAGCAACCCCTTTGCTGATGTTCCCCACTTAGTGAAGTGCTAAATCACATGGGTTAAATAGAAACTTGGATAAGATAACAATAAGACCCAATATCAGCTCATACACTCATATTAACAGGTAGCAAGATGAGCCTGGATTAGAGATACTACTGAGAGAGTGGCTCTACTGACAGGGGTTTCTTGGTGTTTTTTTTTATTGTCTACTGGATGATAAGGCCTCTATCAGCAGTGCCCTATTCCAGCACTAGACAGTAATGACTTAATTAACTGGGTTATTTATTGGTTAATCATTTAATTAAAAGCAGAGTAATTGGGCCCTGGGGGCTGTGAAGAGGTCCTGAGTATAAGACCACAGACAAGAGGAGTTTTTGAGAAGTCCTATTCTTTTTTTTAATACAGAGCTTTTAACAATACAAGAATACTTTATGACAAGAGGACAGAAAAACAGATACAGACTAATGAGTGCATACCTGTGTGGGAATGTACAGTGGCTACAGAAAGTATTCAGACCTCTTCACTTTTTGCCCACTTTATTGTGTTCTAGATTATTGTGCTCTAATAATTTCTGAAGCAATGGTGTGTGCACATAGATTTGTAATATTCTGAGTGAGGACTGAGTGACTGTAGGTTGTATTCATTTTGTGTTGGTATGTGCTGGATTGGAAACCAGACAATTGTTTCAACAGATAAGAGGCAGAAACTGCCAGTGCTCAACTTCTCCACAGTAGTTGACGGTTTCCTGCATTTATCCCAATGTGAAACATTGAGACTGCTCCTTAAACCTCCAATAGCTGCCAAAATGCATTATTTGGTTCATGTTTAACCTGTCTACTATCTGATAGATTGCCATTACATTTTGCACACATATTCATGTGTCCTTCAGAATAAATATTAATAATGTCAGTGATGGCACAAATGGCTTTCCGATCAGTCTCAGCTGTAGTTTCAGTAGTAATAATCAAATGTTACCATACTGCCATGCTAAACAAAGATGGTGAACATGGGCAATATTGCATTGCAGCTGACAAGCATCAGAATGTTAGAACTGTCACTGTAAGTATTTTAAAGTGTTAATGTTAGCATTTAGCTCAAAGCATCGCTGTGCCTAAATAAAACCCTGCAGTGCTGCTAACATGGTAGGAGACTATTAGGACATATTTTTGTCACAGAACTGGAGTGCACAGTTCTTGTAGAGGTAGGTGTGTGAACCCTATTAAAAAGCCAGCAAGCTGTGACACTAGAACTGGTTTTAATATCTCTTTGACATTGGCAACCCTATTAAAGAGCCAGCAAGTTGCTACAGTAGAATGGTTTTAATATCTCTTTGAATCAGGCAAAAACAGTAACAGTCTTTAAAGGACAAGGCAGGAAGCAGGGTCAGTTCGGTCCGAGGTCGTAATCTCCGGCAAGGCAGCAGGGTAGGCAAGGCAGGATCGCAGGTTGGTCTAACAGGCAGGATGTCGATATCCGGGTAGTCAGGCACAAGAGTGGGTAATGCTGGAAAATCTAGATGGGGCATAGAACAATCTGGCAGCTCCCCACAGAGTGAGGAGCTGCTATTTACTGTGGAAAACAGGTGTGCAGGATTAAGGTGCAGGTGAAACCACTGTGCGTGATGAGGTGACATACCAGGAGCCTGGGTGAACTGGAGGCAGGGAGGGGTAGGATCATGACAATTTTTGTATGTCACTACTATTGTCTTCCCTCTTTACTAAATTAAGGATACATGGCACATGTATGTGCACATCTTATGGCCACACCTCAACTGAGACGAGAAGATGGCAGCTAATTTTTTGGAGCCAAGGTGGCACAGTCAGTGACTGAAAGATTGACCATGACATGCATTGTAGCCACATGAACACATCCAAGCTGTTTGTCCAAGTCCACTGCCATCTGCATCCTGCCCTTAGCTGTCGTACAATATTCCCACCTGAATGGCTTTGCTGCTCTTTTGTCCTTCATGGACAAACCCATTCTACTTCCTATTAAAATAAAAAACTGTTTGTTTCAGCACAAGAAGAGTGATTAATTTTGATTCATTTTGCAGAGTTGCTCTTTTATGGGTAGTTAGAGATTGGAATTAACTTTAAAGCAACTTTTAAATTTTAATTACTTAATTTATGAGATATTACAAAGTAGTGTTTGATTAGTTTTACTTTCTGCTGTGTCAGTTTATTAGATAGTGACAACCTACAAATAAAAGAACAGTGTGGCAATGTGTGTGTGTGCAAGTATCCGAGTATGTATATCAATGTAATGTAGAGTGGGCATATACTGTGTGTAAGTTTGGAATTTGTGAGAGTGCATGTATTTGTATGTACGAGTTTGTGAACTGTGCAAGTCTGTCAGCAATAAACAATGACTCACTTTGTTACCAGTGGCATTAACTAAAGCATCAGTTAAAGGAGATAACGAGTTTGTTTAATGAGATGAAAACCGGCTGTGTTTCTGATGTCAGTGTCAGACTGGGCTGTTCCCCACAAGAGGTCAAACACTTCTTTTCCTCGTTCTTCGCCCTCAGTCTATCTCCTTTGGCATCTGGCTTGTTCACTGTCAATCCAGTTGTCCCCTAGTCTAATGTCCTTTCCCCTTTAACTCGTTCCTATTATCTCCCATTACAGTGTCAGGCTTATAAATGGAAATAATCCAATCCACCTTGTTTGTACTTGACAAGGCATATTGAATAACTGGCCAAAGTTCTTTCAGTAATGACCTTCAGTTCCCATGCACAGACAAGATATTGTATTTTAAACATGTAAAAGACTGTTTACTGTATCACTACAACTGTACAACCAATACAAAAATACAGCTGCTGTAGAAAATACATGTTTCTGCAATTTAAAAGGCAAATAGTTCTGTGAAAAACTGTTGACTAGTGTTTCAGTGTACAAGGGCAGGTCTAGAACATTTTGAACAGGGGCCAGGCTGGGGCACCTTTGAAATACAGGTAAAAAGTAAATTAATCGCCTAATTACAGGTAGGGTGTTATGGTAGCTCACTTGCAGTTGAGCAAGCAGGTTGGACTCATTTGGCAGACACCACAGTTCTGATCAAAGTCTTTATTACAATAAAAGTGCAGGTAAACAGAGAAACAGTCAATATTGCAGATGAGGTCCGGCAGAGGAGGCCGGGGTTGGTGGACTGAAGACTAAGTGGATGCTCGGGAGATAAACCATGGTTCTGGAGCAGCAGAGAGAGCAGAGGGAAGATGAACGTGATAGTTGAAGTGTCACACACTGACCCGGGAGCTGAGTCGAGAAAATGGCCAGGGACAGAGGAGAAGACAGTCTGTGGGTAATTAGTAGAGGTTGGAGTGCTTGATCAGAGGAGGTAGCAGAGAGGCCTGGAGTAACTGATCCCACTTTGCAGAGGCAAGCCGACTGACAGAAGCCCTGGGGTGATGATAGCTGCAGCGTCGAGGATCTGAGTGCAAGGAGCATGTGCAGGATGGCTTGTGTAGAACGCAGCCAGGAGCTCAGAGGAGGTGAGTTGAAGTGGCGTAGCCTGCTGCTGCAGGTGGAGCTTGAATGTAGCGAGAGCTTGAGGCAGAAGCCCTCAGAGAGACGCTGGGTGAAACAATCACAACATGGAGGAAATTGGAGTACCGCAGTACTTAAGTCTTGCTGGAGAACAGCTTAGATTTCCATGCAGCCTGGCCAAAATGTGATGAGAAAACCCTCAATATACCAGTGACGAGGGAGTGTCTGCCAGCACTTTAAGTAGGGAAGTTGGTAATCAGATGATTACCAACTTCAGCTGTGTCACATCCG